GCTTTGCCAGCCTCAACAGTTCTGTGTGATTCAGCAGAACAAAAGCAGAGGGAATTAAAGAGCAGATACCTGGACCAGAACACAGCAGAAACGTGGCAAACTGCTTTTTTAGCAATTGTGTTTGACCGGCCAAGTCAAGTGTAGGTTGCATCAGGTGGGCACACCAGGTTTGCTGCTCGGATCAATAACTGCTGATTTCTAGACACGTGTGACTCTAGAGATTGGTGGGATGTTCTGAAAGTTAAGGGGGTGTGGGTTTGCTTCAGCAAACTGCCTGCAAGCCAGAACAGACATAGAAAATGAGTGGGGCTGCAGGTGCATAGGCATGACTGGGTGTCAGGCAGCAGCACTGGCACCAAATCACACAATCACAGAATGTTGGGGTTTGGAAGGGACCTCGAGAGATCACCCAGTCCAGCCCCCCCTGCCAGAGCAGGGTCACCCAGGGCAGGGCCCACAGGAGCACGTCCAGGCAGGCAGCACCTGCCGATGCGTGAGTGTCCTTGTGTTAGCAAAGGGTTTGAAATACTGTATGTGGGGTCAGAACTTTCCAATCACTTGCCTCTTCTGTCCATTGTGCCTTCTTGTGCTTTTAAAACAAGTCTTAAAAGACGAGCTTTCACTTCTGCGTTACGTTTCAATCCTATTTCTGGTGTTCTGTCAACATCTGTCGTCTGGCCTGTATTTCTCCAGTGGCAGTGCACTCGCGTGAAACCTTTCTAAATCTTAGAAAATGATATGTTAATCACTCTCAAACTTTCAAAATATTGTTCAGCTAATAATATTTCAGAATCGCTGGCAGAGTCTGCAGCAGCCTATACTAAAGCAACAGCAAGGAAGTGTTTGTTAGCGAAGGTAGAAGTGATTACCGGGGAGGAAGCTGAAAGTAACGTGTTACAGGTAAGGAACGGGTGAAGTACAGGAGCTTGGAGTTTATAGGGATTCCTGTGAAGAAAACTAAAATAAGTATCTAAGTTCATTAATTATTGTACTACTGAAGATTATAGATGTGGTTTTTTTAAATTCAGAATGTACTGTTATGCTAGCAGTGTGGTTTCTTGCATAGCAGAAGCCATAAAACAGCACTCGAGAATTTGTCTTGAGGTACTTAATTGAATTAGTGATGTTTTAAAAGGACATGCATTCATGACTTAGACTGCTGGTTATTATTGTGGTTTATTTAACCTGGTAGTAATTCATTAAGTTAAATATGCTTACTAACTTCAGTATATCCTGGAGAGGAATGTGCAGGGGTTTTGTGTAAACCCAACTGGATTATATATATATATTTTTATTTTTTTTTAAATCCTCCAATTACGATTTTTTCTTGATCTTTTAAGTTTGTCAGCACTTGAACTGTGTCTTCTGTTACGGAGTAGCTTTGTGTTCTTACAGACTTGCTGGTCTCTTCTGACACCAAACAGATGCTCTGTCAGTAACCAAGGCGTATCAGTTACACTTTTACTATCCTACCAAATAATAATCTGTAGCATTTGTCCTTTCAGGCTTTTTACCAGGCATGAACGGTCTTTAAATAGTTACTCTGGTGCTTCTCTGGTTTTATGTAATTCTGGGTGCTTCATGTAATCAGACAAGACACTGAAGGCAAGAGAGTCCTTTTTCACGTACGAAAACTGCAACATTTAGCAGTTCTGTACGTAATGGACTGATTTGTGTGAGTATATTGTAACTTCACAGACCTCTGACCTAACTTCTGGTCTTTTTTCCTGTGAAGTTTAATTCACTGCAAACCCAGAAGGGATTCTGCATAAAGATGCAGACAGAACTCTGTTAATGTTGCAAAAATGAGTTATACAGAGCTCGGTGTTCTGTGGCAGAGAAAAGGAGACAAACAGAGGAAAAGAAAATGGGAATATTTTTTCCACCCAGGACACATACAGTTGTGGGGAGCTTGAGGGGTGATGAACACAAGGTAGAGATGTTTGGCCAGGCAAGAAAACGGGAGCTTTTGTGGGAAAGAGGAACAGTCCTGCCACTAGAAAGTCCAAAAGGTGTACTTTGTCAAAATGATGAACCAGGAAGGCAGGAAAAGTGCCTCTTGTTTATTCATGACTTTGTGTGGCTCGAGCCACGAGATAACGTGTTTGTTCGTCCTTTCTTCCGTAATACAGGAAGAATTTTGCTTTGCTTTCATTGTGCTGGGTCTTCCCAGCAAGAAATGCCGCCCTGAGCCGTGGTGCAAAGTGCACCTAAGGCTGTCAAAATATTGCCCGATGGAAGATGTAGGTGACTCTTTCCTGGTCTCTTATCACAATGTTTCCTCTGTGAAAGTTTGTACCTTACCCGAAAATTGTTCTGATTTGATCTTGAACACAGGTACTTCTTAAGAACATACAGCTTCTGGTAATTAAACCAGACAGCGTATTTTGAGGAATTCATTGCAGAAGAAAGGATGACTACTTTAGTTTCCACAGTTATAAACAGATTAAAATTCCAGTATGAAATCTGAGTATTTTGTTAACCAGCTGTGGGTGATAGCAAATGAAATATATTACTGCTGCTGTCAAGCACTGTACTATAGAGATGTTCTCCATTGCAGATTCAGTGCAAGCTGTTTGTATTTGATAAAAACTCTCAGTCGTGGGTGGAGAGAGGTCGAGGACTTCTGAGACTCAACGATATGGCCTCAACAGATGACGGAACATTACAGTCTCGGCTGGGTAAGAGGGCCCGGGCGGATGCGGTGCTGGCTGACAATCGGTGCTGTGTTCATAGGGCGCTTCCGCGGCACACAGCAGCATCCACGTGGGGTTATGTCTGAGCTGCAGCAGCTCGGAAGCAGTTTGGATCTTTTCTCTTGCTTCCATTTATGACCATTCCCCCCAAAGAGAGTATCTTTTCATATCCTCCTAGGGTAGCAAACATCCCGGTTACGTTATTTCCACCCCACCCCGCTAAAAGCAAACTGTGTTTAGCAGCTGGAATATTGTCTGGCATTTTATGGTAACGTTCTTCAGCTCTGAGCTTCTTGGGGTGGGTGCTTGGGGGAAGCCTCTTGGAGCAGCACGCCGTTGTTGGGACTGGCAGGAGCGTGCATTAGGTTATCAGCTCAGACCCAGCCACTGAACTTTGCTGTATTAACATACAAGACTTTGGACTAAATATCTTTAGTCATGGCAGATAATCTTTAATAGCCTACATTCTTCTGATTAACATCTGTGGCAAGATTCCTGTTTGAAGGGCTCTCCCTAATATTCTTTGTGAAGAGACTTAAACGTTCACACAATAAAAAGCCATCTTGGCTGGTTTGAGTTCCCTGTTGCATCTTTGTCCACCTGACTGATCTTGTGTGTTGGCCCTAGTGATGAGGACTCAGGGGAGTCTCAGGTTAATCCTAAATACCAAGCTCTGGGCTCAGATGCAGATCGACAAAGCCAGTGAGAAGAGTATCCGGATCACTGCCATGGATACGGAGGACCAGGGAGTTAAAGTTTTTCTTATATCAGTGAGTACTGGGTTTGGTTTACATCTTAACCTTCCTACTAAAATTGGGGCTTGCTTAAATTGCAGCTGAGGTATCATTGACTTCTCCGCACCCCACCTCACTGCCACCGCCCCCTCCCCAAAGACAAGGGGCTTGGCAGCCTTTGCTTGTGTGAAAAGCCCTCCTTGTGAAGAAATTCCACTGCAAAGGCTGCCCTAGGAAGCCCAGTTGCCCAAAACACCAACTGTGGAGTCCTGGGAGCTCTTCCACACCTCCTGAGACTGGTGTAGTGGAAGATGAATGCAGATCATTTTTTGCTAATCTGCAGATTAACAGCTTAGCCAAAGTGTGATCTGCAAGAACTTGTAGCATGGGGAAGCTGCTCTTGTCCATCTACAGCGTGGGTGGATCTAGAGATGCCCACTTCCAGCAAAACACGAGGTATCTGTCAAGAACCTTATATTGGTAGTTAAGAGTAATACATTTTAACTTTGATTTGCTTTTAATACAGAGTATTCCAAGCGGTAGCAGGACAGGGAAAGTGATTTCTCTGCTTTCTAAATGGGGACTGGCAATCCCAGTCAGATTTACTAAAGCACTTGGGAGATAGTGATAGAGTTGGTGAGAAGGAAAGGTCCTTCCCTAACGTCTGCTAAGAGCACTTAGGGATTTTTGAGGGGTCTGAACACATTCCTTTGATTTACGCTGATTCTATACCAAAAGTCGCTAAAGAATTAAGTGTTCTGATGGATCAGAAATTAAGAGGACGGAAACAGAAGGTGACCTTGCCCTGTGACAGTACGTTTGCAGAACGAGGATCTGGAGTCCCATCCACCGACGAGGAAAAAGCAGTGAAATGAATGGATAACTTTTTCTAAATTTCAAAATTTTGAGTTAATCTGTGATCAATTTATTCACTATTGATTTTAGTACTGATAAAAAGTATATTATACAGAATAATTTAGTCACTATAGCTCATTGCAAGGAAATTTTGCACTTACAGAGGTGACAGATTTAGATGATAGAGAGGGAGGAGGAAAACAATTTTTATGTTAGAATCTGACAAGTGATATTCTTACCTTACAGTTAACTTGGGGGAACAGTAATAGTAGTTAGTATGGGGAACTTATTGACACAGTGAAGTCAGTTTCAGAGTATTTGAAGGGAGTTCCCTTTTAAATAATGTCCATTACATAGTTTGATAAGCCTAAAAATTAATCCTTTTGAAGCTGTCAAGTGGTCATTAATTCTTGAGAGTAAAAGATATATTCCTGGACAGGTTGTCACAAACGCTTTCCTCTGAAACAGCTGTGTACCACAGCCCATTCTCACTGAGTCTGAAAAACCCTGTGTGAGAAAGCAGAGAAGTCGATTGTGAAGCTTGGCATGACAGGTGTGTATTGCACGAGTGGGGTTTCGTTTGGTTCTAATTCCGTGCACCTTCCCCTTGTTTCTGAATATTAAAAAAAAAAAAATGCAGGCAAGCTCTAAAGATACCGGGCAGCTGTTTGCTGCGTTACACCATCGCATCTTGGCCTTGCGGAGCAGAGTGGAGCAAGAGCAAGAAGTCAAGAGCGTAGCACCTGAGCCAGAGGTAACGCAATCAAACGAGGAAGACAGTGATGATGATGTCATCGCGCCTTCAGGAGCAGTTGGCAGCGGTAAGTAAGAAAGCCAGCAGAGTTTCCTGTTTTCCATGGTTTTTCCCTGTTGTTCTTTAAGGCCGGCTGTCCTCTCTGTGACCACGTATCAGAGCTGTGCTCCCGGCCTCTTGCTTCTCCTGGGAGCATGTGCTGTAGGACTCATGCTGTGACCTGCCTTGTTGAACGTAACTGTTCCTCCCTCCTTCTCGAGACCTGTGCTTGTGAGCCCCGAGCCAGCAGGGTGCCCAGGTGGCCCGGCA